AGCAAGAGCCCCAGCCTGCTGGGGGTGGAGGTGCTCCAGCCCAGCAGCAGATGCTGTGTGTGTGTCGGGGGGGGAGGGGGGGAGAGGGGGTCACACTCCCCCTTCCCTGCAGCAACTCCCCGGTCCACTTTTCCCTTTAATTGGTTAACATTTAACCAGTTGCATTAAATGGGATTTTACCACCCTACTTCACAGGGATTGTGCACCTGCACAGCCTGTTATTGACAGCAGCAAGGAGCAGTTCACAGCTCCCCATGTATGGTTTTATGAGAAACCCTTTGCAGTTAAGGTACTCTGAGGGTAGGTGGCCTTTTCCAAGAATTGGCATGTGCCTGTTTCTGAAAGAACGCGTGGCCACCGTTACACAAATGAAGCGTAGGAAATTCAAATCCCGGCTCCATTTGCGATGTCGATATAATTTACATCCCTCTTTTGAAAGAGGGATGTAGTTTAGACATGCTCCTACTGACGTTCATCAGAGAATGCCAGAGCCCTGACTGCAGCTCCCAGAAGCCAGATCTAACTCCAAGTCATGGGCTTGTTCAGTAACCTAAGGCTAGGCGGCACTTCTTGCTGTCTCCGAATCCCAGTCAACTTGGGCATCACAATGGTGTGGCCCTTCTTGAGAGGCCTACCTTGAAATAGCTTTTTGCCCAGATGCTTCAGCTGTGGAAATTCTAAGCAGCTTTGAAATAGCTTTCTGCCCAGATGCTTCAGCTGTGGAAATTCTAAGCTCAAGCCTCCTTCCCCAGCCCGGTCTTAAGAGAGGTATTCCAAGTCAGTGGCCCTGTCCACAGACAATCCATTTTCCAGTAGAGAAGAGCCATTCAAGGTTGATGGCTCATATTCGAGATCTGAGGTCTTGCACTCCCAGAGGGAGGATACAGTCTAGAATAGATTGGCTTTGGCAGACAAAGATTGGTTTTCCAACATAGAGATCACAATGCAGAGAGAAGGTCACAATTAAAGTTATGATGAAAAATGCCAAAGTGGAGTTCAGTGTAAGACATATCCCCAACCTTTTTATGGCTCATGATAGACAGAGGACTAAGTTTACATATCTTATTAGAAGATCTTATGTGCTGCACAAGTTGATTTAGATAGTCTCTGAAAGGAAAGTAGTAAAGAGCGATACAACAGAATTTAAACAAACGTAGATTTGGAGAACAAAAAAAGGTAAAGGAAGAGAATGAAAAAGAAACACCAAAGACAAAAACAAAACGCAAATGAAGATAGAAAGTAAGCTTTTAAGAGAGAATGTGTAGATGCATAATGTTATAACTAATACAATATCCAATAGACTATATGCAGAAGTTGTTATATTGCATCAGACGAGACTCAATGTAGTCCTATCTGGTGGCCAGGACACAAGATGGTCAAAAGAAGGTGCAAGACTACGACACAAGGCAGTCTCAATCTCCCTCCTCCTTTCCATCTCAGTTCCTCCAAAAATCGTATTCAGATAACCGATGTTGGCTAAAACCTTGAAGTACTGTTTAATAATTTTCCATCCCCCCCCCCTTTTAAATAATGAACTCTGGGGACTTTTAGTCTATTTTCTATTCCATTCATTTTATATATTTTATCTATCATGTTCCCTCAATTTCCTTGTCCGGGTAAACAATTCCAATCTTCTCCATCTCTACTCAAATAAAAGTAATGGGATTTTGAGGTGAGGGGAATTTAAACTTTTACACCCTATAAGGTTTTCAGCTCAAGGAAACTACATTTGCATCACAGACAGCTCAGTGAACATTTCTGCTCTGTGTACAGCTGCTCTCCAAAAAAAAGTGGTTTCCCTCAACATCAAGGATGAAACTGCATGCAACAATGTCTATATATGAAGTGGTGTAGCTTGACCAGTATTGCACACGCTATTTCAGGTAATCTCCTTTCCAAAAGGACATTTCAGACCCAGAAGGCTTTTGGAGAAAAGACTGACAAGAATGATCAAGAATATGGACGGGTGAGGCAGAAGGGTTTACATTCATCCACTCTCACATTTTCCCAACTTGTTTAGGACCCTGGGAACTTTCAATGTCTTCACTAGTCTGGGCAAAATTAAGTAGCTTTGTGCCATCTGCAGATTTTGCTACCTCATTACTTAGTCCACTTTCTAAACTCATTTCCATCATGCTCAATGATCAGAAACTCTATGCATCGCACTGTTACCCTTTTGCCACTATGACAGTTGACAATTTAATACTCTGTCTTGTCAGTTTGATCCATAACCAAGCATTTCTTCATTCCAAGAATACTTACGTCTTGTCAGTTTGATCCATAACTAAGTATTCTTGGAATGAAGAAATGCTTCAAGAATCCAGGACAGAGGCTACCAAATAAAGCTGATCTAGCAGTCTCCAATTATAAACCACCATTTTTCTACCTGCTATTTTATGAACACGTTTAAAGAATTCTAGAGGCTTCAACTCCACTAGAAAATTCTTATTAACTCATACTAGCAAATACGTGGTAATTAACATAAGGTCAAACCCTAGCAAAGACAAAGAAGTTTGCTGAACGTTAAAATTACAGGCCAAGGTAAACCCAATATTTCTAATATGAGTTAGAAGAAGTTTGCTGAAGGTTAAAATTACAGGCCAAGTTAAACCCAATATTTCTAATATGAGTTAGGAAGAAGTTAAGACTATGGAGAACTACTTATTGCCTTGCCTTCACTATGATTTGCTCTCATGTTACCTAATGCAAGTACTTTCTACTTATATTATTTTAGGAGATGAAAGAATTTTCCTTTACAAAAATTGCGCTCTTAAGACTGCCATATTTTGATAGTCTGATTGACTTAACCTCTAGTTCTCTGGAACACTGACAGTTTTTAAATGACTGCATGTTTTGTTAGCAGCTCAGCCATTTCATATTTAAGTTCCTTCAGTATTCTTGCACATTATGCTGCCAATGCTCCTGCCAATGTTGAAGTCCCAATTCCTCCCTCCCCACACCACCCTGAAAATACACAAACAAACTTCAGATCCAACTATAACCATATATATAAAATTCTGCTGGTTTCAAAGATGTAAAGTTGAGCACGTGTCTCCACAGGATATGGGCTTTAAACTGAAGTGGGTGAAGCCGTGCCTCATAAGAATCAAGTAATCTTTTCAAGCTCCCCAGCCCAAACTTTGGAATCAAATAAACAAACATGAAACCAAAATGGTGACTCTTATTTATTGGAGATTGATTTTTTCCAAAAAGAAAAATTTTTCCAAAAAGAAAAATCTAAATACATTGTAACAAGTTGTTATATTAGAACGCCAATGTACCGCCAATATCAGCTCAGCTCATGACATTATACAGCACCTTCTCCGTTATATTAGAACGCCAAGGCATAGAAATAACTAATGTACCGCCGATATCAGCTCAGCTCATGACATTATACAGCACCTTCTCAGCGATCAAACTCTTTCACAAGTAAGGTATTACCCATCCCTTGTTAGATAGCAAAATTATAATGAACAGACAAATGTTTCATGCAGAGTAACAGAGAACATAGAAAGTTCTATTACTAAGTGTGTGTGTGTGTGTGTGTGTGTGTGTGTGTGTGTGTGTGTGTGTGTGTGTGTGTGTGTGTGTATACACACACACACACAGTCTTAGTCTGGTGTAGCTGAAACAAAAAACAGGACTATGTAGCACTTGAAAGACTAACAAGATGGTTTAACAATCTTTAAAGTGCTACATAGTCCTGTGTATATAAACATTTGCTAGAACTTTGCTACTACATGTAAGTATTTATTTTGCTGAAATTAATTACATTTGTGTGAGAGCTGCAAGCAGAGTTTGCTCCAGTGTCACTATTCTGCCACCATGCATATCCCAAATACCTTTAAGATAAGTTAGGTACTAAAACCTTGACATAACCTTTTAAGTGAGACTATGCAAAAAGGGGGGAAAATGAAATCCCTCTAAGTATTGTGCATTTATATTGAAGTTTTGCAGAAGTGAAATTGAGAAAAAAGTGAATTTTTTAAAGATACATCTGATTTGTAGATCAAGATTTTTGATCCACAGACAACTTCAGTATTTAATTCATGAGGCTATTTTAATTCAGCCTATTATGATACAAGTCACTGCTTACAATCAGCTTTCCCATAGCATTGGATTTTGTGCTTGTGGAACTGAAAAGGAAAAAAGCCATACACCCTGGAAGTTCACTACAATATGCTTGCAACTAGCAACATGCAGCAGCTAGCATAGCCATAATACAGATATATCGTATGAATTTACATTATATAATGGTAGTAATCATGTACATTCTTTAAAATGACCTGATTTTTTACGAAGACTAGAAGGCTGCACCACGAGTCCGCTATGCTTGCCTATCCGTTCCCCCCTTCTCCCTGGCCACTTTTGCAGCCAGAGAGCATGACAACATCATTCTGTTGCCCATCAGGAAAAACTTTTATAGAGAGAGACTGAAGTATGCAGCCTCTACCAATGTTTTGTTCCTATTGCAGAAATTGCCAGCCAGAAAGCACAATCAGGATTGGTGCCAAGCTTGCTTGTGATGGGGTGCAGTCACAGAAGACCCTTTGGGGGTGCTTCCCAGAGTGCTAACAAAGCTACTGACATTCACCTTGTTCTCTGGGGCTTCTCACCACATGGACAGGGGCTCCTGCTGCAAAGCAGCCTAAGTGGCTGGCTGAGGATAGAGGCTGCTTAGGGGCAGCCTCCCTTGCCCCTCCCTGCAGCAACATCTGTTCACAAGAGTTCAACCCCCTCCCCCTCCCGCCACCACAGACAGCAAATGCTGCCAGCCTGAGCTGCTGCCTCTTGTATAAATAGCAGGGACAAGGGGTGGCAGGGGGCCGGATTGAAATGACTGCCAGCTTGCCCCAGGGGACTATAGAGTAGTTGGCTAGCCGACTAGTCAATTAATCAATAGCCTCCATGCAGAAGGACCAAGCCCATTTACAAGCCAGGTTCCCCCCCCACAGTAAATTCCAAGGTACTTAGCCTAAGGCACTGCTACCGAACACATGGCTCTTTCCTTCTCCTGCAATATACAGGTAGTCCCCGGGTTACCTACAAGATAGGGACTGTAGGTTTGTTCTTAAGTTGAATCTGTATGTAAGTCGGAACTGGCGTCCAG